AGGGAGGGGGGAATGAGGAGCTGATACCAAGGGCTCAAGTAGAAAGCAAATGTTTTGAGAATGATGATGGTAACAAATGTACAAATGTGCTTGACATAATGGGTGGATGTATGGATTGTGATAAGAGTTGTAAGCCCCCAATAAAATGATTTCAAAAAAATTGCTTGAAGGAAAACGCCTATCTCATGACAAGCACCCTCTAAGCCTCATGTCCTGGGCTCACACACATCTGTCCCCAAAGCTTCCAAAGCCTCTGTAAGCCCCAAACAGCCAACAGGCACAGATGAGAAGGTGCGAAGTCTGAGGAGCCAGATTACTGGAAACATCCGCCTGAGCGGAAGTCATGAGAACCTTCGTTCACACAGCAGCGCGCTGTGGAGAATTGAATGTCACTCACCCCCCCACAGAGTGAGGGGCAGTGCTCCCCTCTCCTGTGGGCTCGCTATGAGTCAGCATCACCTGGGAGCTTCCACAGACCGGGCAATTCAGCCGTGAAGCTACCTGTTCCTGTAAAGTGGGTCTCCTCTTTTCCCCGGGCCAAGAAATGGTTGACAGTGTAAAGGTCACTAGGAGTCAGAATCCACTCCAAGGCAGTGAGTTCAGAGTGGGTTTCCGGTATGATGTAACCTCGGGCATGAGAACCACCTGGAGAGGCAAAACCACAGCCGTGTCTGCACCCCTCCTCCTCGCAATGAAACCCACCACGACAAAGGTCTCCTTCGAAGGGAATCGCTGTGTGCAGCACTGGCAGGGCTCAGTGCAAGTTCTGGAAATAGGGAGTCATGGTGGTTGTCCAGCATGGTGAGTATAATTAATGCCACGTAACTGTATCCTTCGAAATGGTTCAAATGGTAACTTTTGTGTAATATATTTTTTGCCACATTGTTTTTAAAGTTCTCCTTTCCCCCCAAGCCTCTGATGTTTTCAATGGTGGATACATCTACCGGACACTTGTGACAAAGATTCCTATTTTCCCTCATCTTTTTCTGGAAGCAATTTCCCAACTATTTCTAAACGTGCCTGATTCCATACTGTTAGCGCTTTGTTTTGATCACACATTCCGTGTCATTGTCGTTCTGTTGTGTTTTAAGACTTACTTTTGGTTATTTCCCCCAAAGCAGTAACTGGTTTTTTCCCCTAGAATTAATTTTAAAAAGTAGTTTTATTGGCAAATACTTCACATATCACACAATGTAATCGTGCATTCATATTGAGTGCTTATGTCATCATCCCCACAACCCGCTTTTAAAAATCATTTTATTGGGAGCTTTTACGGCTGTTCTAACAAGCCATGTATCAATTGTATCAAACACACTGAAACACATTTTTTTTTAAAGCATGTGCGGAGTTCGGAAACTTAAATTCAAAGACATTGAGAACATTGGGCTGTACT